TATATATATATATATATATAAAATCTGTTTCTACTTCATATAGTGTTGCATCAAAGGTTTTACATAAGTTCTTAAAATGAAATCTCCATATCCATAAGGATATATACAGGTTACCTACTTACCTCTTTGACACCCCTCTTGTACCATTCTCCAGATGAGCTGAACTGCTTCTGCTTCTCTGGTTGTGGTCTCTGGTGCTTTAAAGTAGGTCTTTTTGATGGATCAATATACCATGGCACTGAAGAAATATACTGAGGAATGTGAGGGTTGATGTCTCTGTAATAAAAATTTTTAAAGTTTTTAAGAATAAAGAATCAATATTACAATTACAAAGGTAGCCTGTGCAGAATCTAAGAATAGAAATATTGTAGTGGGAGGGCAAAGAAAATATGACTGCTATCTCTATAACAAAGAACAATTACAAATAAAGAACTCATTTATTTTACAGTGAAAACATTTCCAACTAAAAAACTAAGGAGAGGGATAAAACTGAAAGAGGAGGAGAGAGGAAGGAAGACATGTCAGTGATCTAAATCTTCTAGCAGAGTAAGAAGTCTCAGTTCAGATAAAGCTGAGAGTCAAATGACAAAATAATTATGTATTATCATTAAGAGATGTGAAAATAACAACCACAAAAACTCAAAATAGAAGAATTTAAAAGCAGCCACTTCTGTAGAGCAGGCCAGGTGTGGGAAGGGTGGAAGAGAACTGTTGCTGCTCATTATCTGCCTTCCACATTATTTGATTACTCTCAAGATAATGAAGATGATGATGGTGATGATGATGATGATTTCAGAGATAGGGTCTTCCTCGGTTGCCCAGACAAGAGTGCAGTGGTATGATAATATCTCACTGCAGCCTAGAACTCCTAGGCTCATGCAATCCTCCCACCTCAGCCTCCCGAATAGCTGGGACTACAGGCTCATGACATCATGCCAGGCTAATTGTGTATTTTTTTGAAGGAGATGCTTTCTGCTGCCCAGGTTGGTCTTGAATTCCCGACCCTAAGAAATTCTCCCGGCGCTTAGCTCCCCAAAGTGCTAAAATTACAGATGTGAGCCACCACACCTGGTCCATTATTTAACTGTATTCATATTAGTTTGATCAAATAATAAAAACAAAATGATGTAAATGGTACAGATAGTTTCCTCTCAAAACAAAGGATGATAAATTGATTAAGTAGACATGAATTTTAATTTTGAATGAACAGATCATACAAAAATTACTTACTTTCCTTCTTCATCAACTTCTGCAGGAGCATTGCCCAATTTTCGCTGTTCCTCTAGCTCCTTCTTCTTTCTCCAGTCCTCTCTGGTCATCTTCTTTGGTTCCTCCAAACTCATTTCTTTGGACCCCGGCAGGGGTGAAGCATTAACTGCATCTGTAACTGCAGCTGACATGGCTACCTGGCTCCTCTAAGAAAAAAAAATGAATCAAATTTATGGTCAAAAGTAGGCCTTCATGAGTTCATGACTGAAACCAAAAATACAACCTAATAACATATACTGTGGGGTATACATAAGGTTTCATAAGGCTTTAATCTTTCATAGTATCTGTAAGGATACTTTCTATTCCCTAATCCAACGTCCATTTCTCCCTCAACTCTGCTTACCAATGGAGACATACACACATTTAAGATTTCAAAGGACTCTTTCTCCATATGCACATTCCTGAATGCCTTTCTATGTATGTCTCAAACTTTTCTACCACAGTAACTCTTAGTGAGAGAAACAGGATTCCACCTCTGCCCGCTCCAACACCAAAGATCTCAAGAGTCATCTATATTCATTTCGTTGTCTATTTCCTCACGGTCTACTTTCATTCTCACTCTCATTTAGCTTCTACTCCCTACCAATGTAAAGAGTTACCACTAAGTTATCCAGGATCAATGTGCCAAGTCCAGTGGACATTCTCCAGTTCTGTTTTGGCTATGTCCTTATCTCTTGGCTTCCTTGACACTACATTCGCTTGGTTTTTCCTGCATCTCTCTTGCTGTTCCTCTTGTCATCACATTTGCCCAATTATTTACTGTTGGATTCCCAAGGCTCAGTCAGTGCTGTTTTTTACTACTCTAAACTGTACCATTGGATAAGTCCATCTATTTCCAAGGCTTCAATAGCCACAATACTCTACTGTTAGCTCTCCAATTAATTTCTCTACTCGAGTCTTCATCTTCAGCTTCAAATGCATATATTCGGTTGCTTACTTGACATCTCCATTTAGATATCAGAAACACCAAAACTCAACACATCTTAATTCAAACTCATCATCTCCCCTCTGAAATGTAGTCTCCTTCCACTGTTCCCTACCTTGGTGAAAGACACCATCATCCATCTTTTACATAAGTGTTTCAGCTTATCCCTATACCACTTACATCACTAAAAATTGTTACTTTTGGGGCACAGTGACTCAGCCTGTAATCCCAGCAATTTGGGAGTCCGAGGCAAAAGGATTGCCTGAGCCCAGGGATTTAAGATCAGCCTGAGCAACTTGGTGAGACCTCATTTCTACAATAAATCAAAAAAACTACCCGGGTGTGGTAGCGTGTGCCTGTAGTTCCAGCTACTTGGAAGGCTGAGGCAGAAGGATCGCCAGAGCCCAGCAGGTCGAGGCTGCAGTGGCCAGGAGCGGTCACTGCACTCCAGTCTGGGCGAAAGAGTGAGATTCCAACTCAAAAAAAAAAAAATTTTCATTCAAATGGATTTACTTCTTTCCCCTCTCAATGCGACCATATTAGTGTAAGTTATTACTTTTTCCTACTTTCTAGTCTCCTCTGATTCCCTCCAAACAATTCTCCACACTGCAGTGGAGATTTTTAAAAGCACAAAAATATATATATATTTTTTAATTGGAGTCTCACTCTGTCACCCAGACTGGAGTGCAGTGGCCACTCCCGGCCACTGCAGCCTCCACCTGCTGGGCTCCGGCGATCCTTCCATCTCAGCCTTCCAAGTAGCCAGAACTAGAGGTGCCCACTACCACATTCGGCTAATTTTTTGATTTATTGTAGAGATGAGGCCTCACCAAGTTGCCCAGGCAGGTCTCGAACCCACGGGCTCAGGCAATCCACTCACCTCAGCCTCCCAAGGCATGGGATTACAGCCTGAGCCACCGAGCCTAGCTACAAATTTGATCTTATTATGTTCCACTGCCAAAGCTTCAAACTCTCTAATGCAGTACCATCACAAATCTAACACTGCATCATATATAATAAGTTTTCCAAGCCACATTAAAGAAGTAAAATGAAACAGGTAAAATTCCTTTTACAAGATTTTAGGTCAGGCTGGGCGTGGTGGCTCAGCCTGTAATGTCAGCACTTTGGGAGGCTGAGGTGAGAGGATTGCCTGAGCCTGGGGGTTCGAGATCAGCCTGGGCAACTTGGTGAGACCTAATGTCTATAATAAATCAAAAAATTAGCCGGGCATGGTAGTGCTTGCCTGTAGGATAGCTGAGGCAGAAGGATTGCCTGAGACCAGCAGTTCAAGGCTGTGATGACCATGAGTGTGCTACTGCACTCCGGCCTGGGCCCGACAAGAGTGAGACTCCAACTCAAAAAATATATATATTTTAGCTCAATATATCCAATATATTATAATTTCAATAAATCTGAAAAAAAAAATCAAGTCAATCTTTAAAGGCTGATAAAGATTTTTCACTTATTTGGATTAGCCATATTTCCAGTCTCAATAGCCACAAGTGGCTAATAACTGTCATACTAAATAATGCAGCTCTAATGGGATCTAATCTATCTTATCCTAAAAACCAACATCTTTTTAACACACCTGCATGGTCCATCCATCCTGGTCTAGCTCCTGCCTACCTTCCAGCCTCACCATTACAAGTATCCTATACCCTTACTTCTCTTCTTGTAGTTCCTCCAACAGACCATGCTCCCTGCGGATACTGAGCTTTTATATAAGCTCTTTCCCAACGAGAAAAACTCAACAGCAGGGAGGTCTAGGCCGCTGCTCAAACCTGTTCTCTTCCGTGTGTGACCCATGGAAAACCTCCACAGATGCATCGATGAACAGATGACGACCTAAGCACACTGTGAAGTGAGGGTGAACAACGGTAAATGTAATCACCTTAATTAAATCAGCTATCATTTCTTGAGTTTGCCATGCCTCATCTCCAGGTAAAAACAATAATAGCTCCTACTTAGTGCTCTACGCAGACGATTTCATTTAACGCTCATAACACCGCAGTAAAGTAAGATCAGCCTTAAGGGGAAAAATCTGAAGCTCAAAGATTTTTTTTTCTGGTGAAGAAACAAAATCCGTCACCTTGGGTACTGGAAACGGCTTTTGCCGCTCTCAGTCCGGGGAGAAGTCAAGCTCTCCGAGGCGCACTTTAAAACCACTGCGAAAGAGGGGACACACTGTCACCCTGACTCTTTCCCTAAAGACACAGGCTCGGTCCAACAGGGTACGAACACTCCGCCTGCGTCCCAGGACAGCGACTTCTGAGTCCCCGGTCCCTCCTCAGTCTGGGGTTCATGACCTCCGTGAGCATACATCTCACAATTAGGAGACTTCGACCCGTTTTATGAGGTTTCCCCACTCCCCTTCGCCCGAAATGAATAATCTCTTACTTAGGCTACTGCAGCTGATCCCAAAACCATCCGACAAAAACGAAGCCAACAGTGAAATATTTACTTCTGGTTTTCGGCCTCTTCCGGCAGCTCTGCGGTAACTTCCGGATGCCCACACATGCGCACTAAGAACTCTCTGGGGCTCAGGCTCGGCTGCGTTGTGGGTATCGCGAGATCTCGAACTGCATTTTGTGCTTATTACCTAGTCAGGTAAGGAGGGTGAAGGTTGAGGGGCCTCTAGAGTTTCGTTTGTGCTTGTGAGCTCTTTGTTTCTTTCAAAATCGCAGAATTTTAGAACGTTAAAAAAATAAAACAACCAAACAAAAAGGGCCGGGGTAGTGATTCATGCCTCTAATACCAGCATTTTAGGAGGCCGAGACAGGAGGATCACTTGAAGCCAGAAGATCAAGACCAATCATGGGCAACAAAGCGAAAACCACCTTCTCCAGCCCCTGCTCTGCCAAAAAAATTAAAAAAAAAATTTTTTTTAAAAAATTACTACCCAGAACAGACAGGAGCTTAAGCCTCACTAGAGGACTATGAAATTAATGGGGAAGTTCGTGAGGTAGTAACTAAAAAACCGGTTACACTTCTAATGAGTAGTCAGGCTGTGTAACACGCTGGGGATGTGAACACACTCTCCTTGCATTTACATCATACAGGGTGAGAACGACACTAAAATAATTATTCAAATATATTATAGTTTTTAAAAGTTGCTCTGAAAGGAATGCCAGGAACTATGAAAACATAAGGCATGTTTTCAGGAATTGTGATCCGATAAATCGATTGCTATACCTTGAAGCCAATGGAGAAGAAAGGCAGAAACTGGGATAAATGGGTGTTTGTTCTGATACCATGGAATCAAGGAACGAGTCAGTGTATTCACCGCAAAAATTTGCTCCGCGACAGTGTAATTTACTCAGCTTTTATACTCCATAGCCCTTCACTCACCCCCAAGCCTAAATTAATAAAGGCATGACTTTTTATCTCCCCCTGCCCCCACCGTGGGAATCTCACTGTATCAGTCAGGCTGGAGTGCAGTGGCACAATCACGGTTCATCCGTTTCATTGCAGCCTCAACCTCCTGGGCTCCGGCTATCCTCCAGCCTCAGTCTCCCAAGAAACTGGGACTACAGGTGTGTGTTACCATGCCCGACTACTTTTTTGGACATTTTGTAGAGATGAAGTCTTGTGATGTTGCCCAGGCCATTCTCGAACTCCTGGGCTCAGGCAGTCCTCCTGCCTCAGCCTCTCAAAAGTGCTTGGATTACAGGCGTGAGCCCTCCAGCACCTAGCTTCCTGGAGTTTAGGAATGTAAATATTAGTTTTGATTTTATATAAAATATTAATTTTGATTTAGATTTACAGTAGATTAAGGAATAGAGTCAGAGACTAGTCTGAGTGAGTAGGTCTATGGATAACTCAGAATTGTTTTTCACCTGAAAAAAAAATTCTTGAAATTTGCTTTAGAGTGCTGAGGCCTAATTAGTCAAAACCACCAGGCATAAATCAGACAGCACATCTCCCAGAGGAATCACAGAATGCACAGGACAAGAGGGATGAATCTGTTGTAAGATTTAGGGTCCATCTGGAGGGTTCTGAGGAGGGTCTAGGAAAGAAGGGATTGGTTCTGGATGGGCTGCTGTTTGTAAAGCAGGCTTGGGAGAATCTAGTTAACTAGGGACTAGGTGCTGTTATGAGTGATGGTCGTTTAGCAGTTGGGTATCCCCAGTAATGGTTAAGAATAGCAAAGCTGGTCTGAGGGCATCATTAGTAAGAAAAGAGTGGTTGTTCAAAGAGAGGGTGTTATGGTTCTTTCAGTCGATCAGCTGCTATTTCTCACAGCCAATCAAAGAGAGACTGAGAGGCAATAGGCATTTATTCTGAAAACCAGAAATCAGGGAACAGGTTCTGGTGTTGACCAAAAAAATCTGTTCACCAAGGCAAGTTTTACGTTCAGTATTTATTGCTAAAACAGGCAATGTCTTATCTACTTCAATTATTGATCAGCAGTGTCTGTTGTCTCATGACCATATCCAGGGTTCTTTTTAATCAGCGTTTAGTCTTTTCAGCACCTATTGGCATAAAGCAATATCTAGACTACATTAGTCTTGTTTTTGTTTTTGTTTTTTTGAGTTGGAGTCTCACTCTTGTCACCCAGGCTGGAGTGCAGTGGCAGGCTCACGGCCATCGCAGTCTAGACCTGCTGGACTAAGGCCATCCTTCCACCTTAGTCTTTCAAGTAATTGGAACTACAGACGCACGCCACCACACCCAGCTAGTTTTTGTGATTTATTGTAGAGACGAGGTATCACAAAGTTGCCCAGGCTGGTCTCAAACCCTGGGTTCAGGCAATCCTCTTGCCTCAACCTCCCAAAGTCTGGGATTACAGGCTGAGCCACCGTACCTGGCCAATCTTGTTTTTTAAAATAACCCCAAACTGAACCTTTCTGTTTAGTTATATAATAGCCAGTTCTAGTTCATATATGCCCTAATTATTACATGACATGAATTTAAACTGAATACCACAAAAGAGATGTACGTTTAAAGAAATGAATATAGATTAAGGGGTTTAAGGAGTTTCCGTTGAGTCTTTTATCTCTTGAAGGTCTTTTCAAAGACGTGTAGCTTTTTCATTTCTCATGGGGAGCTGTTTTCTCCAGTGCCAGCTTGTTAGACAAACTGGCTTTCCAAACCAGTGTGCAAGGCCATGCCAACACAAAAGAAGCAGGGTTACATCCAGAGGGTAGTGAAGGGGGGTGGGAAGGGGGCAGAGAAGAAGAAAAAAAAATGTGTACTTTAAGCTCAAGCAGTTGTAAGATTTAGGGTCCATCTGGAGGGTTCTGAGGAGGGTCTAGGAAAGAAGGGATTGGTTCTGGATGGGCTGTTGTTTGTAAAGCAGGCTTGGGAGAATCTAGTTAACTAGGGACTAGGTGCTGTTATGAGTGATGGTCGTTTAGCAGTTGGGTATCCCCAGTAATGGTTAAGAATAGTTCAGCTTGGTCTTAACTACGAAAATAACCTTTTAAAATTTTTATTTTGGTTATTTTAAATAACCAAAATGGTCACTTTTTAGCCTGTTACAAGGGTGATTATGGTTTACAACTGCTGCATTCTCTTGGTAGAAACCATGCTTTCTGTTGGTCAAAGAAAAGGGGAAATCTTGTTCTAAAGAGATTAAATCTTGCACACCTAAACCTTTGTAGATGGAAAATCCCTACTTGGAATCTGTAGATGTTGTACAGATTTAGTCTCAAAAAGTAACACTTTTGTGTGCTGATAATATAATATGGAGATGTGAAAGTCCATAGGAGATACAGGGAGAAAATAAGGGTTGGGGATAAGGGAAAGAGGATGGGGAGGAGACAATAAGGATATGCATTTTTTTGTCTTCCCTCTTTTTTAGGATTTTTTCTTCTTGATGCTTAACATAGTGTCCAACATTTAATAGTTATTCAGTAAATATTTGTTGAATGAATGAGTCATTCAATCAGTTTTGGTCCTGAAATGCCAGGGGAGAAGAGATGATGAACTGGCATATATTGAGAATCATGCCTATGCTAGGTGTAGTGCTAAACCTTTTGTGAAAGAGTAATATGGGGTTAACTCTTTTCTCCCAATTTATCTGCATTTTAAAATGCATATGGCAACCTGTGGGATGTTTGAATGACACAGGTGTTGATGTTTTGAATTTATTCCTTTTTGTTCAGTAGATTCCCATTTACTATAGAAATAGGATAAGGCCATCAACTTTTTCAAGCACAATTTCTTCTCATATCTGGGAAATTGGAATTCTTTTTCTATATCTTTATTATTCCTCTGATCTCCTATTCTCTGGCCAAGCCCTTCCAGGCAGCTTTGATAAATGTGTATGTTGTTGAGATGTTGGAGGTTTAAAATAAATCACTATTGATAGGAGTTTAAGGGAAAAGTGAATTATGTACTAATTAAGATCATCGCTTTGTTCCTAAGAAAGTGACAGATTTATAATGCTGTAATAGAAACTTTATCCCAGAAATGATTTCCTTGAGGCATGAGCCTGGCCATTTCTCCTCCTGCCAGCTTTTGGAATAAAGTCACTTTCCTTCCACCATCTCTGGTCTGTTGAACTTGGCTGTGGGCAATGAGTGGCCGAGCTTGTGTCAGTAACACAGTAAGCTATGATCAATGAGCTATGATGGTACCATTGCACTTCAACCTGGGAGACAGAGTGAGACCCTGTCTCTAAGAAAAAAAAATCTGAGGCACATTTATTCAAGAAAAATGGTGGATCTTGGTTAGAAGATGCTTGCCTTGTGGCATTTTATGTGCCCCATCCCTATCCCCTCTCACCAGCTCTCGCACCAGTGAAAACCAGCAGATTAGCAAAATGGAAGGAGGAGAAAGGGCTTGGAGCTCCCATCAAAGCTCCATTCCCAGAGAATTACCACCCCCCACACACATGCTCACATATAACATAAATAGCTATTTTCCAAAACAAAAAATATTTAGTGAGAAGAGTGGCATTGTTTTATATTTCTGCAAATCTCTAAGGTTTGGCTTAATGGAAGACACCAGATTCTCCAATTTGCTTCTGCATTCAGTCTCTTTGTTTTGTTTTGTTTTTTGTTTTTTTGAGTTGGAGTCTCTCATTCTGTAGCCCAGGCTGGCTGGAGGGCAGTGACATGCTCATGGCCACCGCAGCCTCGACCTGCTGGACTCAGGTGATCCTTCCATCTCAGCCTTCCAAGTAGCTGGAACTATAGGCACGTGCCACTACGTCTGGTTAATTTTTCTTGATTTATTATGGAGATGAGGTCTCATCAAATTGCCCAGGCTGGTCTCCTACCCGTTGGTCAGGCAATCCTCTCACCTCAGCTTCCCAAATTGCTGGGATCGTAGGCATAAGCCACCCCACACGACCCTGTATTCAGTCTCTTATGATATTATTTACTGTGTTACTTCTGGATAAACTTACTGTACACTTGGGAAAGAATGAATCATATCCTAGTATCATAAAAATGCTTTTGCCACCCCAAAAAGAAATATTATCCTAGCCTGAAGTGTTGAGGATAGTCTTTTGATTAGGGAATAATCAATCCATTCTTAATCACAAGCATAACAGAATGACTCAAACACTGCTGTTTGATCTGTACTTACATTTCTTATTAATTTTATTGTTTTTCTTTTGAAAATTTTTATTCTTCTCTCTTTTTTCAGAGCGCACCATTGCTGGGAATATTTCTTCTTATTTATTTTTTTCTTTTGTATTACATTTTATTGTAGAGTGGTGCGATACAAGCAAGGATTAACAACATAAGTAGGCTGCATGCAGGTGAAGTTTGGGCTTCTAACTGGTCCTTACTCTCCTTGGTATAGGACCAGGTACCCTTTGTGTTGTTAGTGTTCCCCTACCCTCCTCCCTCCCTCCCCTAGCAGTGCCCAGCGACTGCCAATCCTTCCCTTGTGCGAATGTGATTAATGTTCAGGGCCCACTTATGAGTGAGAACATGCGAGATTCAGTTTCTTCTTAATTTTAAACTCTGCTAGTATTTTCTAGGCCCAATATTGGTTGTTTCTCCCGATATTTCTACAATATTTATTTCTACTTATTTTCAATTCTTTCTACAGAGCCATTTGAATAAAAAAGACCTTAAAGCAGTAAAGCAGCATTATTGGTTCGGTGCCTCAGTTCATACAGCTAAATAATATGGAGAGTCAAAAAAAAAAAAAAAAAAGCCACCCAGGAGTTTTGAATATTACACGATTTTAATTGTTTTTCTCCCTAGGAAACATGCCTCAAACTTTGAGAGAAAGCGTGTTGGGGGCGGAGCCTTGGCTGCTTGGGTTCCGCCTATTGGTTCTGTTTGGAGACCCCGCCCCCATGATCCTGCTTCCTGGGCGGACGAACCAATGGGGCCGCGAGTTGTGGTTTAAACCGGGAGGGTGCCGTT